ATTCAAAGCTGCTGAGTGGAAGGGGTGACGTGGCCGGGAAGGGGTGAGCCGAGGCCGGCCACTCTTCCGCAGTGGATGTGCCAGTGGCAGGACCTACATGTCACTGTGGTCTCAGACTCCTAGGTCCCCCAGGAACCATGCGGGGGCCGTGCTCATCGGCCATGACTGAGTACTGCCACCCTTCGATGCTGGCTGCCATGGAGATGCACCAGCTCTCAGGGCAGAGGGCCGGGGAGAGCCCTGGAGATGGCGGAGGGTCTGGGGTCGGTAGTGAGCTGTGAAGTTTCCCATTGGCTACTCCATAAAGGTACTGCTGCAAGTGACTGTAACTCTATATTATGCCAATGAATACGGCGGGCTCAGGACGCACCGGCATGGAAACCAGGGCAGAGTCCACCTGGCTGGGACCCACACCTTCCCCAGCTAGTCACCGGCTCAGGCTGGCACATCACCGGCAGTGACGTGACGGGGTGGCGTGTGGGCCCCGGGCCAAGGCGCTGCCTCACTCTGTGCTCGCTCCTGGCACCACCTGTGGGCTCGTGCTTCTGCCTCACCTGGGCCCAGCACATACATGGCAAAACCCCTAAACTGTGATGGCAGCCCTCCCCGAGCTTACTGCTTCTCAGCGCTGCGGCCAAAGCCTCGTGCAGACCTGAGCTCACGGGTGCTGATGTGGGCAGCCAGGAAGATGTCAGGAAATGTGGGGCAGCCCTGGGCGGCAGTGCTGTCCCCCAGCTCATGATTGAGCTGGCATGTGGCCCAGCTGCATACAGCTGGAAACCGGCAGACAGGGGCACGGGCACTTGGGTCCCACCACCCACAGGGCAGACTCGGGCGGAGAGCCTAGTTTGGCCCTGGCACGGTCTCAGCTGCCTTCTGGAAGTAAGCAGGCAGACGGGAGAGTGTTCGTGTGTGCTCCCATTGCCCCATTCTCTCTGCTTTTCAGATAATAAATAACTAAACCAACACAGGGGGAGGTGGTGCAGTGGCCTGGCAGGGTGGGAACACAGCTTTAAACCTCTGAGTGGAAGAGGGGCGGTGCCCCTCTCTGTACGTGAAGACAGATGCCCGAGGCCTCCATGCCACACAGAGCACACTGAGCCAGCACACAGGAAAGCTGCAAAGACATGGAGCTGAATCACCCTGCAGCAGGTACACAGCGAGCAAGCACCTGCCTGAGGCGCTGCCCTCTGCGCCTGGGGCCTCACTGGGGGCTGTGGCTGCAGCATCCTTAGCTTTGTAGCAGACCGACCAGGGAGGACTCCTGAGGCCCTGCAGCCAGCCAGTTACGAGGGTCTGAATGGGTTACCCAGTGTCTGGGGGTGAGAGCCAGGCTGCGTGGCCTCCAGGATCCTCATCACCCTCTGTGTCCTGATGCAGGGGTGGACCACCTGCTGCTGAGATGGGCTGAGGTTCTCCCTCCCCACAGAACACTAAACATCTCTGTATGCCCCACGGCAAGCACACTGACCGGCACAAGTGGTGCTGCTCTGCTGAGTGGGGTGGCAGAGCCCGCCGCCTGCCCGCCTGCCCGCCGGCCCAGCACAGTCCAGCAGAGCACTGCCCAGAGACCGACACGCCAGGGAATTCTACTCTCACCCTTTACCCTTTGACCGAGATGAGGTCAGCTGTTACTAGCATGGGCCACGACCACCTCTGGTAACCATGTGCAGGGCAGTAGGGACAGCCAGGGCGTTGCCCCTCCAGGTGAGGGTCTCCTGCCTCTGGGCTTCACCCCTCCCTCGCCAGCCTGCAGCGCTCCCCAAAACACTCCAAGTGCTCCTTTGCGGTGACCTCTCCTACATCCAACCTCCACTCCAGCACCAGGAAGGAAGGGCCAGATGCCATCGCGTCCATCCTTGGTGGGCCTGCCTGTCTGGGTGGTGGCAGGCGAGGAGTTGCACAAAATGCAGCAAAAAAGAAAAAAAAAAAAAGCAAACCGCAGCAGTTGCTGGGTGTGCGCGGCTGACCTGCTAACTCGGATGCGAGCACAGGATGGCGGGGAGCACACCGCCTGCCGCCCTCCTCCCAGCTACTTTTCTCCTTATTTAGAAAAACAAAGTTGATGGCATGCTCTCCTGTCTGAAAGCCACCAGACGACAGCGTCTCCCTGTGCCTGCCAGGCAGGGCCTCCTGTCCTGGGCAGTGGCCTCAGACAGAGCTCCAAGCCCTTGGCTGACACCCTGCAGGTGGCAGCGGGACACTGGTTAGGTCAGCGGGCCCGGGTCTGAACGGCTCCCCTGCCTCCTAGGTGTGGGGGCCTGGAAAGTCCCCTGGCCTTTCTGAGGCTGCATTTCCTCTTTATCAGTAAAAAGGAGAAAGCAAACTGCCCACACCCCCTGCGGTCAGCGGGCGTCAAGAGGCATCCAGAAGGACACAAGGCCCCCGGCGCTCCAGCCAGTGTCCCACCCGCATCACTCGCACAGCCCCCTCCCCCGGCACTGCACACCCAGAGGGGGTCAGGTGGGAGGCACCGTGGGAAGATGTGGTTGTGAGGGACCCACACCCCGTGGGAGCAGCGGGGACCACTCCCAAGGTGGCTGGATGCATGCCCCAAGCCCACCCCAGTGTCTCCAGGAACTGACACACGCACTGGCCACAGACAGAAAAAGAAAAAGAAAAAGAAACAGCGATCAGACTCAGAAACATTGTTGCCGTAATAATTTCCACTCTACAAACACACAAGGGAAGCATTTCAGCTAAAATTAGGAGCCAACTCTCCTTGCGGTGACTTAATAAATTATCTTTCCACCGCAGAGCACCAATCCAACAGCCTGAACTGGGTTTAAGGGTGCCGCGTTACGGAGTCCAGGAGGAAGCACCCCAGTGTGCCCAGCCTCCAGGACACCCCTGGGCTGGGGGGCTGGGGGGCTGGTTCTGGCAACTGTGGGCTGCGCGCCCAGGCGGCGGACAAGCAGGAAATCCCGGATGTGTTCAAAATGACGCTTTGGTTCACTGACTCAACTTTACAGAGATCCTCTGGCAGTTCCAGTGAGCAAGTGGAAAATCCGGTGGCCTCCAGTAAAAACAGCAGTTAGGTAATAAAACCCCAGGATGTGGACGGTGGGCTGTGAGCTGCCTCCTGCCCGGGTGCCAAGCTGAACCCAGGGCCGCCGCGTGCTGAGAGGAACAGGCTTCCAGGAGACACCGGTGGGTAAGAGCCACCGACCATGTGGCTAGGTACCACCCCCCAGGGTCAGGGCATCCTCATGGCACACAGGCCCCTCCTCAGCTTGGCACGTGGAACCCCACGAGAGGCAGGTCTGCAGCTATAAACACCACAGCTTCCTGGCCTGGGCCTGAGGGGCCGCCAGGGCAGCAGGGTCCTCCGACAGGCACGCAGGAGGCTTCCGTTATGTGAGCTCAGGCTCAACAAACCAGTTCCGAATGAAAAGGGGAAACCCAGGCCCAGCCCCACTGCCTCAAAGAGCCAGCCGCTGTCCCGAGGGTGCCGGGGAAGGGACCAGAGGCACACGCCAGGCTGAGCCAGGGGCCAAGCACCTGCTGCTTCGCTCGCCAGCTGACCCGTGCGCACGGGGCCAGCGCCTCCCAGGGAGGACACTCCTGGGTACAGGATGGCCTACACCGGGGCAGGGTGCTGACCAGGAACTACCGACACCAGAGGTGACACAACGGGTGGCGAGCATGGGAAGTTACACAAGGCAGAGGGCACGGTTTCCACACCGTCAGCGCAGACGCTGCCCCCTCCCGCGGGCCTGCTGGGACCTGCTGAGGCTCAACCCCAACTAGGCCTCCTCTTCCCGGCCCAGCCCCCTGAGTCCCTGTTCTCCACCCGGGACCCTGGCACAGTGCATCGGAGACGCCTCCGTCCAGGGCGGCTGCCAGGTGACTGCCCACTCCACATCCTCCTCACCCTGGGCAGGGCCCATTTCCTTCCCATCCAGGGGCCACACTTCTGTCCTCCAAGTCCCCAGCTCACACAACGTTCTTGACTTTGGAAAAAACCCTGTAGGCTCACAATTTCTTACAGGAAGCCCCAGAGACCAAACGTGTCCCAGAGTTCACCATTTCCGGAGTATAGGGCCTCCCCCACAGCCCCCCAGACACGGCCTATAACAGCCCAAGGCAACACAGCCAGAAGCCCCGAATGCACCCCGCACTGTCAGGGGAGGCCCCGCTCGCTGCCCACCACCAGCTCCGCCCAAGCAGGACTGGGACCCAGGCGTGTGTGGCCACACTGGGCCCTCCCCTCTCGGCTTCCGGCAGCACTGAGTCAGGAGCTGCCCCCTCGGCCTGCACATGCAGGTGCATGGCTTGCATGGCGCCCCCTCTGCATCCTGCCTCAGTGGGGAGGTGTCCCGGCCAGGGCACTCTCAGCTGAGCCCCACGGGTGCCCAGGCACCCGAGCCTTGCCCGGGGTCAGCATCCGCTGGGGCCTGCCTTGTACAGCTTGCCAGGGCTGCTGACTTCCCAACACCCCTCTCCTGGATCCTGCCCTGACCACATTCCAGGGTCTCCCGGCAGGTTCCCAAGCCCGAGGGAGGAAGCAGCTGCCCAAGCCTGACGGCCCTCCGAGGGGCCGATCCCAGACACAGCATTAGAACACACACTAACCCCCCAACAAACCACCCCCAGCCAGACCCTGGGAACCCTCTACATCCACACCTCTCCCGCTGGCATTTCCTGGTCAACTTCTCCAAGGTCAGGGCACCCTTCCCTTTCCAGAACCTTCCACAAACGCCCACCTGGTGAAGGACCCCGCAAACACCCAGGGGCCTCGCCCTGCCGGGCCAAGTCCAAGGTTTCCCACGGGTCCCACTCCCCCAAGGGAGGTACAAGGCTGCCCCACCTCAGCCCCGCACACTTTTCCCGCCAGCCGCTGGCGGGGCACACCCCACGCGGGATCCTGTCCGGGTGTGGTCCGGATCACAGACCCCCGGGTGAGCCCTCTGCGCCCCGGTGACCGGGGGTCGCCCCTGGCCATCTCCCCCCACGCCGGGGACACCGGGGCCCGCACAGCCCGGGCGGAAGGCGCTCACCAGCTTCTGCGCCTCCGGGCTCAGGCAGTCCACTTCCTTCTTCGGGGCGGCCGCGGGGGCGCTCATCGTGCCGGCGCCGGCGGGACCTCCCGGCCTGCGGTGTCCAGGACCCGCGCTCTCAGCGCCGCCACATCCCAAGGAGCCTCGCCTCGCCCCGCCCAGGCCGGAGCCCTCTGCCCTCCCAGGGCGCGCGGTCCCCGGCGGGCGCGGCCGGCAGGGGCGGGGCGCAGGTGGCCAAGGCCGGGCGGGCCCGGGAGCGGACGGCGCTGGGGGAGCGGAGGAGTGGACACAGCCCGGCCCCGCCTACCCCGCTCGACCCCGCCCCCGGCCGCTCGGCCCCGCCCACCCCGCTCGACCCCGCCCCGGCCGCTCGGCCCCGCCCACCCCGCTCGACCCCGCCCCGGCCGCTCGGCCCCGCCCACCCCGCTCGACCCGCCCCCGGCCGCTCGGCCCCGCCTACCCCGCTCGACCCCGCCCCGGCCGCTCGGCCCCGCCCACCAACCCGCTTTAGCGGGCCCATCCCCAGGGCGGAGCCCCGCCCATCGGCGCGCCCATTCGGCCCCGCCCACCCCTCCGCTTGGCCCCGCCCTGGGCTGCACCCCGTCCTCCTGGTGCGCTTGGCCCCGCCCCCCAGTGCGCTTGGCCCCGCCCCACCCGCGGCGGCCCGGCCCCGCCCCGTTCTGCCGAGCGGGTGTCAATCACACCCCACCCGCCGGGCGCCCCGAAAGGCGAAAGGCGCTGCGAGACATGGCCGGCCCCGCCCGTCCTCTCGTCCTCCCGCAGGGCCCTGGGTCGGCGGGGCTGGGGGCTCACGGGGAGGCCTCGCGGGGACAAGCAGCGTGCGGCCGCCACAGGAACTCCTGAGCAACAACCTATGGGCTAGGGAGGAGGACCAGAGCCGTGTCCACTGCACCCCCAAGTGTGGACCACAGGCCCTGTGACAGGTGCATCTCCTGACACCTCTGAAACCACCGAGCAGAGAGGTGGGAAACTGGACTCTGGAGTTAACCCCCCTGGTTCACATCCTGGATCGACCACCCTCCTACCCCAGGCACCTGGGTCTCCTGTGTCGTCCACGAGCTGCCAGGGACAGGGACACAGGGACGGCACCCCGCCAGGTGAGGACCAGGGGCCCTGACACGTACCTGCATGGCCCAGGCAGGGCGAGCTGCCCAGTTTGCTGCCAGCCCTGTGCCAGGGGACGTCCTGGGAAAACCAGCTCAACGCCACAGTGCTGTGTGTGTCCCTTCCTCCTCTCTGGTGCCCAGGTGTCCACACACAGGTGCCCAGGCCCCTCCCTCCCTCCTCAACAGCAGGAAGGCAGCTGGACAGCAGGTTAAGATGGCTGAGAGCTGGGGGTCAGGGAGCCCGAGCCTAGGGAAGGGCGCTGCCCGTAGCCCCCCAGCTGCAAGGAGGCAGGGAGATAGGCCAGGTGGGACACTGGCTCAGAAGGACTACTGCTACTGGCGACAGAGCAGCTGTTAAAGCACAAGGGACCCCCAGTTCCACGCAGTGGCAGCACCTTAAGGAGATGGGCACCCTGGGTGGATCGCAGAGGGGCGGGGAGGCTGTCACAGCCTTCACCTTGCAGGGTGTGAGAAAGCCCGTGGATGCTACCCTCAAAAGGGTCACCGCCAGAGGCCCCAGGAGGGCACCTTGCAGATGCCCGAGAGTGGGCAGGGCCCGGGGTTCTTTAGAAAGAGCTGTGAGGTCCATGGCAAGGACGGAGGACCGAGGGACAACTGGGTGTTTCTGGCCATTGCCCGGTTGTTGGGTATACCGTGACCCTGCACCCATACCCCCACACCTGTGTGCCCCTTAGAAATTCTGCACCAAGCCAGCACTTGTGGAAGAACCCATGGTCTCCAGCTTGCTCTTTGAAAACCAATATTTTGAATGGACACACGACATTGTGCATATTCATGGTCTAATTTTATTCTAGGAACGCCAGAATCACAGCTCCCTGGCAAATGCCAGGGCGCTGACCAATGCAGGGCCGCACCCAGCGTGGGTTTACTTTGTCTCCATGGTGCTGGGTGGTTGCTAGGCTTCCTGGCTTTGTCTGCGTCTGTGGTTTGGGTCTGAGTGTGAGCGCGACAGGGACAAGCCCTCTGGCCCGCAGCACAGGGCAGACGGGAGGACCCCGCTCACTGCCATGACGTCATTCTATAAAAGCACGGCCAGGGTCTGCGGCTCTCCAGCACGAACGCCCGGGACACCCACTCCCTAACTGTGCAGGGAGTCCCGAGTGTGGCTGAGCTCTAGAACCTCTGCTGTTACAAATAGAGCTCAAGCATGGCTCTGTGGACACCCTCTGCTGTCTCCCTGAGCCTGAGCTATTAAGCCCCCTCCCAGCTGGGGGCGTTGGTGAGGCCCCGGGCACACCCAGGTCCTCCAGGAAGACTGGCATTTGGGGAACATCAGGACGGGGGTCAGACTGCCTGCTGTTTCAAAGTGGCCATCCCATGGACTTGGCGACTGGGCAGGGTCCTGACCGCCTCCACTGGCAGAGCGTAGGCAGCAGGAAAGCATCTGTGAGCTCCACTCGTGTGGCCTCGTGGACAAGAGGACACGTCCATGCTCTTGGCCGCCCACAGCCCGGGGCCACTTACACACCCCAGACGGGGAGGGGGATCCTTGGCAGTGGGGGCAGAGTCCTGTTGCTTGAATGTGGTGGGCACATACGTCAGTCAGTGACAGCTGGACGCACGGGTGGGTGGGTGGACATGGGAACAGATGGACAGACATGGACACAGAGGTGAGTAGGTACAGATGCATTGATGGACTGACGGATGTGTGCAGGATGTGAGGATGGGTGGGGCCACGAATGGATGGACAGACGCAGGAGTGAATGGATGGGCGTGTGGAAGGATGGTTGGATGGATCAATAGTTCTTCTAATTAAACGGAAGATTTTGTAGTTATCACTGAATCTTGTCATATTATGGGTTTTTATGGCAGTTGGGAATAGAGATTCTCTGTAAACACCATGTGTGTAGGCACTGCGTGTCAGCAGGTTAAGCAGCTTTTCCCGGACGACCGCAGAAGGTGGCCTGAACATCTGGGGCCCTCAGATGGAGTCCTGGCTCCTGGCTTCCGCCTGGCCCAGCCCTGGCTGTTGTGGCCGTTTGGGGGAGTGAATCAGTGCATGGAAAACATTTCTCTTTGTGTGTCACTCTGCCTTTCAAATAAATAATTTAAAAATGACATATATTGCCTAACTACATAGCACCCAGGTATTTATAAGGTTTCTTTTTAACTCTTTATTAAAGAGTTTTTTTTTTTTTATCTATTTCCATTTTCTAAGGAGGTGAAGTTTGATTCTTGGTTAAAGTTGAAGCAGTGGCAGAAAGGCTCCTGGGAGGTGTCACTGGCGGGGCTGGGTATCCGTGCAGTGTGATGAGGAGGCGGGGCGTGTCTGCAGGAGGTGGGCAGGGCCGCAGTGACGGAGCAGAGAAGGGGTGTTGGAGAAGCAGGGAGCAGAGGCCTGCCCCGGGAGCCTCCTGGCAAAGAGCAAGGTCTAGGAGACCTGCACTTTGCATCTGCAAGTGCAGCCCTGGTCTCCAGTGGGGGGCCCTGAGTGCTTGGGCAGAGTGCAGGATGAAACACCTGGATGTGATGGCAGGCAAGGCTGGCCAGGGCGCAGGCAGAGCTTCAGGAGGTGGCTCCCTCCTGAGCAGAACCGAGTGTCCAGGAGGGGGCGGCAGACAGAGGCTGGTGGGGCTGTGCCAGGCCTGAGCCGGCCAAGCCAAATGGAGTAGAAGTAGGGATGGTGTGGCCCAGGCTGGCATGGGCACCCCGAGGACCTGCTGGGCAGGGGCCCTTGCAGCAAAGCTGACCCACAGTGGGAATATTTTGTCCTCCATTCTGCTCTGTTATTAAATCCACCTCCCACAGAGTCCTCTCCAATCCGTGCTCACTTCCCCAGCCCACCCCTGGGCGTTGGTGGTCCTGCGGCCAGGCCAGAACCAACCCCCCCACCACCCTGGCACGGCCCCTGAGGTGATGGCTCCGGGCACATCCAGGAAGCCCACCGCTGACACGGCACTCAGAACCAACCCCCTCCCCACCACCCTGGCACGGCCCCTGAGGTGACGGCTCCGGGCATATCCAGGAAGCCCACCCCTGACAGGGCACTCAGAACCAACCCCCTCCCCACCACCCTGGCACAGCCCCTGAGGTGATGGCTCCGGGCACATCCAGGAACATCTGTGCCCAACACGGCACTCCACAAGCAGCAAATGACTTTGCCCTCAAAACGACTGAAGCCAGGACAAGCAGTTTGTCACCCACACGAGAGCAAAGCCCCCACAGCCCGAAGCCCACACCGAGACGGCTGTTTCTCCCTCTTGGAAGGCCCCTGAAAGGAGCTCTGCTCACATTTGCATTCTCCAGGAGACAGAAGACCTCACCGAGATGAAACATTGCAGCATATACTTGGGAACCGGAAATGGGAGCTTCAAGGTGAACAACACACAGACGCTGCTCTGGCTCAGTAATCCCACCAGCGGGTTAGGCTCCTCATCCTCACAGGCGTGCAGCAGGTGCCTCACTAGCCAGAGAGCCCAGAACCCAGCGAGGCTGTGCGCATGATCGACAGGTGTCCACACAGTCGGGGAGCGTGGGAGTTTATGATCTGAATGGCCGCAGCGTCCAGGGGAGACAGGGAGGCTTCAGAGTTCTTGGGGGGGTGGATTCTGAGAGATCTACACCCCCAGCCCTGCTGCGGCCGCCACTCTGATTTGCCATGAACCGACTAAAGCTTAGGAAAGCGTGCAGCTTCCCGGCCTCGGGTAGAGCAATGCCAAAAAACACAGCCCCCAGATCACCCCCCCAGGCAGCGACTTTCTCTAATGGAACACAAGGAGTAACAGTGCCACCAGCCGCCGCAGCTTCTGCTCACGTGGCGGGGACGGCAGGGTCAGGGCACCCTACACTCAGACCCCTGAACTGCAGTTCAGAGACAGTTCGCAAACCACCTGCCCTACAGAGGGTGCCGGATGCTGAGCGGCTCGGCTGCTGTCCCCACTGCACGAGACAGACACATCCACACACAACACAGCACGAAAGCCTCACCTTGGGGATCCGAGGCTTGGAGACGCACCTGCGGAGGAGCTGGCCGACCAGCGCGGTGCAGCACGGCAGCTGCCGGGAGAGACGTGTTTGGCACAAGAGTGGAAATTCTGGAATAACTAGACATCAAATAGCTACTCCTGACCACGTCACCCCTG